TGTATTTTTTCTACATAAGCTGGATCCGCCCCTGAACAAACCCACCCACCGAATTGCGATAAACCCAGGAAATGTTAATTAGTTTCACCGCAGTTTTCTTGGAACAATTCAATCTCAGTCGCCGATTTGCCCTAAACGATTCAATCTAACAAACATCTAACTGAGCACTTTAGTTCAAGTTGCGTCTTATTGCCAGAGCCCTAATGACAAACACGCTCTTAATTCGACTTTAATCGTCCGATATTCTAATTCTGCGCCCCAGGCAAGGTTAACAGCTCAAGGGTAAGCGGTGGTAAGCACGCATTTTGACCAACTGAACGTAGCGCAAAAAGGCGAAAAGCTAATGAGGATTGTTTTAGGGCATTTTGAAAGACAAAAGCAAATACCCCACGTTGACCAGAATGTCGTATTGCCAGTGCAGGCTGAAAAAGGTGTTTTCTAGCATCTTCCATCAGTTTGGATGGAAGCATATCGCCCTCATCCTGGATCGATCTGATCTGTTTTCGCTTACAGTGGGTGAGTATTGAGCGATCGGGAGTAGAATTTCACATTTCGGAACGCAGCTGGACGTGATTTCTCGACAAAAAACGAGTTTTTCAAGCTGAACTTTGCTTGCCACGCCAACCTAAGGCTTGTTGCTGCAAGGTTGAGGAGGAAACTGACGCAAAATGCTCTTTTTGTCAGTTAATCTTGGGGTTTTCTCTAAAACTGTTGATGACGCAACCGAAAAATTCGTCCAAGGCAAAAACGTAAGGAAATCAAGAGGGTTGAGAACAGGTTTGAACGTGTTTTAGGAGCAAAGGCAAAACGGTCTTTTTTGCTCACCAATCCAGTGACGAGGTGGCCGAGTGGTTAAGGCGTTGGACTGCTAATCCAATGGGCTCTGCCCGCGTGGGTTCGAATCCCATCCTCGTCGGTCGTTTTTGTTTTTTCTTCTAGTTGTTATTGTTTTTTAATTAATAAAACTGCAACCACTTTTTGCGGCTAACATTATCTACCACTCTACAGGAAATTTTGACAAGCGTCTAGATATACGGCACGTCCTGTCACTTCTATCGATTGCGGCGATTCGAACCAATCAAATAAGCCTATCGGTTTATTGTTATCGAACGTATCGTTGACAAGTTTTACAAATTAGTTAAGACGATTTAAGGTTAGGTGGTTTTGCTTATTGTTTGATGATAATTATTTTATAATTTGTCGAGATAAACAACCGCGAGTCTGCCAATCATTTTTTTTTCATTCTCTCGTGCATTTCGAACC